AACCTTTAAGGTTTTCTTCTTCTTTATTATTATTATTATTATTATTATTCTCTACTCTACATTGAGCTCTCCCTGGATTAATATCCTCCTTCGAATTATCCCAACAAATCACAAACTGATATATATATATATATATATATATATATATATATATATTGAACAATAAAAAAATATTAAAATCTTCAGACACACTGGGTTGTAGATTAATATTCTTTCGTTTTTTTTATTATTTCATTTATATATATATATATATATATATATATATATATATATATATATATATATATATATATATATTTATTTATTTAGCGGATATCCATACGCTTTCTGCTGGATAAAGGAGTCGCATTTTTTTTGTAATAAGATTTCTCGAATGTTCAGACCGGTAGACGAAATAAATTACTGTTTAAAAAAAAATCAACGGAACGTCTACTCAAATATGGGCAACCACTAAAAATAATATTTTAATATATTTTTTGTTTATACCTTATTTTTATAGATACAAATATTTAAGTAAGTCTTCTGATCATAAACAGTTTTAAGTACATTTACCTGCTAGAAATTTCATAGAAAATATGTATCCCATGACAGGAATCGAACCTGTATCCTACACGGAAGTCTCATTTAGCTTGATGTGCTATACGATTAAGCTACAGACGAAGCATCTGGTCGGCAACGTGAAATTACTTTTTTTTAACAACATATTACCCGTGATTTTTAACCAACGGTCAAATCTGTTCGAATTAATAATAATAATAATAATAACAACACATACACACACACATATATATATATATATCAAACACTTAAAATACCACAGGTAATAATCTTTATTTCATGAAACCTATAAAAATATCCTCTTTGGTTTGCAGGTCTGAAATATTGAAGGCTATATATATATATATATATATATATATATATATATATATGTGTGTGTTTTTAACGCTGAAATCTTACTCTTGTTTTTTTTTGTTTATATATATATATATATATATATATATATATATATATATATATATATATATATATATATCAAATGGATGAAGGAAGAGTATGATTTCAACATTCCTAACATTAATTTAAAATAGGGCTCAATACAGAAGTATAGCAATAAATATATATTTATTATGCAGTGTCACACACACACACACACATATATAATATTTAGACGGGTTATGTGCACTTATTTTTAATGTGATCCTCTCATATTGACGGGCAAGCTTTTTAATATCCTTATTAGGAAGAAAGAAAGTTAACACACAGATGTACATTCAATTCAGAATGTTTCAAAATTAGCACAGTGTCATCATCAGGGTATTGTTTTATATACGCTGTGGTTAATTTAAATATTTTTTAAGAATTAATAAAAATTTAAAATAAACATCCTTCAACAAATCAATGAAATTTTACATAAGAAAATGTTCAAATGAAATATAAATAGGTGAGCTGAAATAAAATAATGTCAGTATGAGTAAAATAATATATATATATATATATATATACGCAATAAAACTGTTTTGTCAATATCCGTATATAGATGGATAATAATAGTTATAAAATAAATACATAGATATGGATAGATAAATAAATTTATATATATATATATATATATATATATGCTGTTTATGGTAACAGGACAAATGACATTTGCAAAAGTTCAATTTCATCGTTAATGAAATCACTTCTGACTGACATTACAGCAAAGTTGATGATCAATGAACAATCGATCGATCGATCGATCGATCTCTTTCTTTTTTCATAACAAGTCTATTACTGATTATATTCCTACACAGACACAGTCTCTCTCTCTCTCTCTCTCTCTCTCTCTCTCTCTCGTTTTCTTATCTTCTTTCTCTTTCTTTAGCGTTCTCCCTATTGTCTTTCTCTCTGTTTCTTTCGCTCTGTCAATAAAGCTGTTTTGATCAAAGTGTTCGATAAATATAATGATTTTTTTTTTTTTTTTGCCTAAATTGCCGTAGAAATAATACACTATTTTATTTCACCTCGGTTTGTATTTATTTATTTTCTAGCGAAACCCGATAGCCCAAATTGGGCTCCTCCCATTGAGCGCCATTGAAGACAGTCGTATCTCTTGGCCATTCAATAAGAAATTCACTTGTTGCCCAATGCCTATATTTTGAACAACGGTTATCGACCTGTCTCGTACACGGTCGCCTGCTTGATAGACGTTCTTTCTTCTCTATGCACTTCCAGTTAACGGCTTGCGTGTATGCAAATCTGTATGTACTCATATGACTGAAATTATGACGCTCTGTATGATACATAATATATCATATAGACAGTCATTACATAGAAAGCATAGAAAGTGTGTTTAGACACGGTGGAGTATAAGGAGACACGGTGGAGTATAAGGAGACACGGTGGAGTATAAGGAGATACAGTGGACTATAAGGGGACACGGTGGAGTAATGGATGGTGTCTCGGATTGAGGAATCGGAGAGCAGAGTTCGAATTCCAGTCGAATCCATTACATTCACTTATGTGCTAATACCCTTGGGAAAGGTGTGAATCCTCTTCTTCTCCCTCCAGCTATGGGTAAATAGCAGGACAGACCGGGTTCTATAGCCTTGGATGGCAACTGGTCTAGGAGAAGGACAACTCTGAATTCAAAACCTGTGGAGGGTCGTTTGTGGACATTGTAGCTCTTCAAAAAGTGTGGTTGGCGCTGCCCAAAGTCTTCACCACTATAATCAAATCATATTTGCTGGTGTCTGGACTGTCGCTTCCTAGGAACTGCTAGACCCTCATACGTCGAATATATATATATATATATATATATATATATATATATATGTGCGTGTGTGTGTGTGTCTTTAAGTATGTATTTTAATATTTTTGGAACTAAAATTGTTCCGTCATCAGGCGATGTTAAGTAACTCATGATGAAAATGATTTACTTTTGAAAACAATATGGTAGTTAATTTTATATATATATATATATATATATATATATATATATATATATACACACTGTTTATACGTTATTATACGTTATTTTTTATAGATACAAATATTTAAGTAAATGCTCTATTTATAATAAACAGTATTAACTACATTTACCCGCCCTGAATATCCGAGAAATCCCACAGAAAATATAGAGAACCGCCGTATACCCGGCTGTGCTATACCATTTAGCTACAGATGAAACGTGGAGTTTACAGGTTCGATTCCTGTCAGAGGACACATATTTTCTATGAAATTTCTCGGACATTCAGACCGGTAAATATTGTTAATACTGTTTATTATAAACAGAGTATTGACTTAAATATTTGTGTCTATTTGTAAATAAAAATTTTGTATAAAAAATGACGTATAAAAAGAAAGTATATTAAAGTAATTTTCGGACTTAGTCCATTTCATAATATATGTGTTTATATATATATATATATATATGCACAGTACTTTTTCAAGCTCAAATTTGGGGTCGGTCGACAACTCTTGAAGTCATTGTTTTCAAATGAATTTGTAGTTTGAAGCTGAATGATTTTCTTGGGAAAATGGTATTAAGATTTTTTTTTCAAACACTTGACAAGAATTTATGGCAAAGTGAAGTATGAAAAGAAACATTGGTTTTATGAAATTTTCTTGGTTTAATCATCTGCTCGGCAGATCGAAGGTTATAATTTCGTATGTCCTTAGAAAGATACAAGAAAATTCTGGCAAAAGAATTGTTCTATCTCCTCCTGAAACCCATTTATTTCGGTAAAAAAAAGAATGGGTTAAATAAATTGCAAAACATTGAGATATTTAAACAGAATGACTTTACGAAAAAAAAATCAGTAAAACAAAAAAGAAAAATATAGACCATTATTATACATTTGTCTACATGTGTTTATATTCGCTTAAACCCCATACTTGGTACAAACACTTCGTATTATATTAAATATATAAATCCTTGCATATCCGGTGAATATAGATTTTGCATATGATTTTTTGTCTTATTACTCTAAACCAGTTGTTCTCAAACTTTTTAAACTCGGGGTGCATTTGAAATCCTTCCAATAATTGTAGGCGCACTATATACAAATTTCGGAAAAATATGTTATAATGAAGTAAAATATTGCAGAAAATAAGCAATGCAATAAACAAATATAAAATGAAACATACATTAAATTTATTCATTCTTCAGTTCTTGAGAAACATAAGCCTGATGAATCTGAGTGATTTCATCAATGTTTGAACGTATATTTGATAGGCAGACTATCATTTCTCCTCAAAACATTGAAGAGTTCCTTTCTTTTTGCACTTAATTGTGATGAGAGCAGAAAAGCCTAATTCGCATAAATATGACTGAGACAGGTACCACAATGTAATTAAGTATATTTATTTCTTATAGTTGGACAAATATTTCTCTGGAAAATGCTAGACATCTTCGAGGGCGCACTAGTGCGCCCAGGCGCACAATATGAGAACAACTGCTTTAGCCATTAGATTACGTTTCTCATCTTAAAAAAAAAAAGAGAAAAGAATACACTTAGGAAAGCTCAAAGACTAGGAATTAATCAGTTTTATGCTTTAATCATAGAGATTCATAAAACATCGCGTATACTCTTATATTAGTCGAGTTTTCAAAACCAATTATTTCGCCATTTGAGAACCACTGAAGCAAAACGATATTTTTATCGAATACAAGTAGGTTTGACTTTTGAGGTCCCCGCGATAATAAAATTATGGGGATACTCTCTAACACGCCTCCACCTGCCTTGGATATTTTTTACTTGGAATATATTTTAATATTTACATGACTTGAAATAAACTTATTGCAAACTCTTTAATTTAAACTAGAATAGCTATAATTTTTTTGTCAATAAAAATATTCTTTTAGAAATACATTATTTTACTATTTATTGCAAACCAAATGATCACGTATTTCAACACAACCATAGTTTAAAAAAAAAAGAGTTTTTGTTTTATAATCAACATTATAGCAATAAAATAATTAAAATAAATTTGAATTCGTCATAGTGATATTTCAGTTCATAAAACTATTTAGAATTTATAACATCTAAAAAATTGATTGCTTTATAAAAACTTAAGGTTTAAACATTCTGAAATAAAATCAAAATATGTCATCTACTTGAAACACAATGATACAAACTAAAACATTCTTTTTCTTGCTTTGCATCCTGCAAAGCCAAATAAATACGATTTTGTCATATTGAAATCATTTCAGTTTATGAAGCTATTTAGAAAATTAAAATCACTGCCTTATAAAAAATTTCTAAAATTTAAATATTAAAAAGCACTAAAACCAGGCACGTTATCTACTTGAAACACAATGATAGAAACTAAAAAATACTTTACCTTGCTTTTTTTCCTGCAAAATCAAATAAATACGATTTTATCATATTGATAGCACTTCAGTTCATGAAATTATTTAGAACTTGTAACATCTAAAAAGTAGGGAACTTCGACGTTCAGTGATGGTTAACAAGCTTATCTCGGTAAATCAATTAGGACTGAGTAGTGAGTTCGATTCTCACTGAGTACTTCAAACTTTCGGCCTTGTGCCATATCTAAGCTACGATTAGAAAATCACTTTTGGTCACCTCGAGGCAATGTAATGGTTAGCAAACTTGTCTCTCTAGAATAATTACAACCAAGTAGTGAGTTCGATCCTCACTGGGTGCCCCATTGTTTTGGCCTTGTGCCACACCTAAACTACGCTTGGAAAATCACTTAAGAGCACCTCGAAGTGGTGTAATGGTTAGCAAGCTTGTCCCATTAGAACAATTACGACTGAGTATTGAGTTCGATCCTTACTGGGTGCTCCATACTTTTGACCTTGTGCCACATCTTATCTACGCTTGGAAAATCACCATAAAATCTAAAAATTAAAATCATTGCTTTATGAAAGCTTCCTAAAGCCACAGCCTGTACTGGCCTGAAAGATAATCCAACCCTGAGCTTTACGCTGCAGATTATACTGACCTAAAGGATAATCCGACACTAGGTACATGTATTTGAGTTGCTTATCCCTGTTTTTGTGAGTCCTGGGTTAGACGATAAACTACATTCGCATCCTGGGTAAGACGATAAACTACGTCCAGCAGCAAGGCCTCTGATCAGGAGGTTTTTGGGGAGCATGGATCCACCTCTTAATTGCTGGTGTTTCCAGGTCCACCCTGACCCGGAGTGGTAGCACCTGTTAGGGTCCCAGCTATGGGCAAATAGTTAACCCCGAAACTGGGGTCCAATCACTGTGAAAGTGTAAAAACAGGTTTTAGTACCAGCAATGATATTTTAGGTAAAATTATTACCAGCAAAATATTTTTGAAGGAAAAAATTATTACCAGCAATATATTTTTGTAAATAATTATTACCAGCAATAAAAATCTTGCCGGCATTAAATGACCCATAGAGGTTGATATGCCGTAAAACAATCCATACCAAACCAAACCATTATTTTATTTGCTTTTTTTAAACAGTGAATTTATTAATAACCAGGCTTGATTTCACTGACAAAAATCAACAAAAAAAAAAAAACAAAAAGGAAAAACAACTCAAAAGACATTTGTTATAATAAGAATATTTTTGGATAAAAAAAAAATAAGAATATTTTTGGATAAAAGAAAATCAAACAAATACTTGTTACATTTCGGATACAGAACAGAACCTTGTAGATATACCTTCGTAAAAGGTCCCAACGAGAAATGTGTACTCCTTAAATAGATCATTGAAACCTCTGTGGTCGAATTCGTTAAAAGCCCTTTCGGCTGTAGAAAAGATTTTGCTAATGAAAATAGAGATACGGGTTTCATTACTGTCGGAAGAATATATCTTTCTTTAACCCTAGAACACTAACCATGGGTATATAGTACCCAGCGCAAATTTTCCGAATTTTTAATAATTTTCAGTACCTGTTTTTCTTACCTAAATAATGTTTTTCAGTTCCTATTAATGTTAACTCAAAGTACAAAGTTTGAAAATGCCTGCATGTAAAATATTTCAAATAAAGATTTAGAAAATATATATATATATATATATATATATATATATATATATATTTTTCTTTTTGATATTTTCAAAATCGGGTATAATATACCCATGGTTAGTAGTGGCGTAACTTTAATTGGTGGTTAGTGTTCTAGGGTTAATAGGACTTTTTCAAACAAGGCTGGTTTCGTTGTGTCAGAAAATAAAATTTAAAAAATAAACCAACGATAGCAACTCAAACACGTATCTATTGAAAATAACGGTTTTTGTAATAATCGATAATTTTGCATAAAAACAAAAATATCTCCACAAAAATGTATATTTGGAAAGAAATCCATCTTTTGAATTTTTCATTGAATCCTCCTGACAAGGAATATTTATTTTTAGCGTTCTTGCCGTTTTCCCTTTATGAGGATTAAGACTAAGGGCCTGTAGAAAGTTCAGAAAAATTCTCATAGTGAAGACAACTAATGCTTTAGATATTTTCATGTATTTTCTTAAATTTCCGTTCTTAAAATATATATGGTCATTGTTCCTTAACAT